AATGCTCCAGCGAGGTTTCTTTTCGAAAGTGAAAAAAAAAAATCATCATGGGTAGCCCTTAAACGTTTAGAGAAAAAAAGAATATGTACGTGATAGGAGCCTGAGGAATGCGTGAGAGTCATTCGTAGTTGTGAAGCTAAACGTTGCGCATTGTACTTTAAATTTAACGAAGGTATCCCTTTAACATCGAACATTTAAACTGACGGAAACTTTTTTAAATTCTTTAAAAATGTTTTGCTTTTTCTTTTTTTTTGGACGTCATTAGAATCGCATAATTTTGACATGTCTTACGACTAAAGTGGCAAAAAAAAAAAAAAAAAAAAAAAAAAAAATTAGAAATTATAAATACCCCGAAGATTCTCACGTATTCGACGACTTCGAAGATACTTACCTACTCTACCTAAAAGTACGCACTCTCTTCTTTAAAAATCAGTAGTCTTTCTTCCTAGTTGTTCAATGTTTCTTTTTTAAACGCAGATTAGCTAGGTCGGCTAACAAAGTTATTATTTAATTGAAATGAAAGGCTTGTCCGCGGCGTTCGAATTTCTTTAAGCAGATTAAATTGCGCTTTGATTGAAATAGTTGCCATGCAGTGATTGAAATTCCCCTCCCCTTTTCTTTCCGTTTATTCAATGACCATCCGAAGAATCTTTCGGACCGAAAATCACCATCTAAACGTAGCACGAAAAATATCTCTGTTTTTAGTATATGAATATTGTCGAAAAGTTTTATTTTACATAAAGTTTGACCAGTAACTGTGTGGAAACTAGTTTCGACCAAAACTCGCGAAAGGAACAAATAGTTGACTCAATTTCAAAGTACAAATTGAATATTCATGTAAGTAGAGGGAATGTTCGTAACGACGTGGTCAAGCCAATATTGTCAGCCATATTAGGCGAGTTGCGATGATGATACGGTAAGCAACGCAGCGAGTTCGTAACGCCTACAATTACATACAGTGCAGAATTGTTAACAACTATGTACTATTTTCGTGAAAGAGAACTTGAGATTTAATTTCGACGAAGTAAAGAGAAGACAGACACAAATTTCTGGTGATCGTGAACTAGTTGCACAGCTACGAAAACGACTGTTTTGCTCCGCGATCATAGCATATAGTGCGGTGAACCTGCTGATTAGGACACATTTGGGATGTTCCATTCTGCAGGTGCACAATTAAACACGATATTAATTAAGCAATGAAGATCGAAGAAAACTAATTTACAATCGGTGATAGCTTAGGATAGGACCAAGAAAACGCAGTTCTATTTAGAATTTTTCGAATAGGTGTTCCGGCAAACTTGACCAGTACTCTTAAATATGTTTCGCATTGGACTTCAATACACGAGGATGGGTGTTTTAAGAAAGCCCGTCCGTGATGTTAAAAACAAGTGATTTCTGCTCTTTGATGAGAGAGGTTGGAAGAAATTACAAATTTAATTGATGGTGAATCAAAATAATTTCGATTTTCTCTTATGAGCTAATTAGTTGAATTACTATAAATCATGTTTGCTGCTTGAATGGTGTAAGTTTTTACATCTGTTTCAAGATGCATTGTCCACGTTTAAATTTTTGCACATTGTAAACGCAGGAACTTCCTAAAAAATTAATACTGTTCTTTGTATTTTGTGATATCTGATTACCTCAAAATCTCAAGCAGAATAATGTAGGTACTTGTCCTGTTTCTTTTTTTCCCTTCTTTGTACCATCGTCAAATCTAGTTCAGTTTCTATGAAAAAGCTAAAGGAAAAAAAGATGAAGAAGATGATGCGCATTGATAAATTGGAATTTGGATTTTTATAAAGGCGAAACGCACTGGCCAAATTTGTTGCCACAGCGCCATAACTTACATTACACCTTGTACCTTCGATTCTTTCTCTACCAGATGTACCTACAGTTACTCACATATGACCAGCGTTTGATAAAGAAGCGCGTAATCTCAATCTTATTAAGGAAAAAAAAAAAGAATAAAATAAAATCTAGTCCGAAGAGTCTGACTGATTGGGATACAAAATGTTACATAGACCTTTTTTCTCAATCCGTGCGACGCCAGGTGCGAAATATACTGCAGCATTCACTTATACCTCGAGACATCTGAGAAAATTGACATTTCCCAAAACTCATGCCATTCCACTTAACGACATTGAGCCACGATTGACACATGTACGAGTCGCATTTAGGAATTTGAGACCCGAATAAAAGGGAAAAAGAAAAAAAAAAGAAACGAATGAAAAGCGAAGTTGTGTCGTTACTTGAAATGTAATCACTCACGTCGAGTTTTTGCGAGTTTTGCATATCAGCGAAGCGGGCTGTTCATTGCAAAAGACACTTCGCTCATACTTACATTGCGCGATAGAATGCACTGAGCCACCTCAATCTTTGCAGCTACGTCGAGAATCGAGCATTGAACATTAAATCCTTTCAAAGAAGAGAAAAATCTATAAAACACTACGAAAGCCCAATGTCTACTTTCATAGAAACTTGTACACGTAAAGAAACAAAACGGATTATGTTGTGTTGATATTTGTATTTAAATTATTATTATTTAAATCGATTTATTTGCAGATTTCTACAGTTTAGATCAGAATTCACGCAACATATTTTGACCGATTATTTTGTATCGAGCGAGAGTGGTGGGAAGGTTTTATATCATGAAAAAAGTGTGCAATAAGCGTAATGTCTATTGTAACAATAAAGAAATGATATTAATTGCATCAGTGAATTTGTTATTACGTTTGAACAAAAGAGAGAGGGTGGGAGGGAGAGAGAGAGTGTGAGAGCGAGAGAGAAAAATAATTTGAATCGAAAATGTACCACTGCAATCATCAAGTGTATTAGTTAATAAATACAATAATCATGAAATTTATTGCACTTTGTTTTTCCTTGTATGTATAATAGATGTAGAAAATGCAGGTAAATGCATACTTTAATAAAAATTACTGTATTTATACACAATACAGGAAAAGTAACAAAATTACTTATGCTCTATAACAATATATACAAAACCATGGTAGTTTGGTATTGAATAACATTGTTATTTGAAATGAGTAATTCTATTTTTATTACTAATGAAACTTTGTAGCCAAAATACTTTTTACTGTCTTTTCTAAATTAGGTAACATATTACAATAGTTATCTGCACAATTTGTTATACATTTATCAAACTGGTTACCATATTTTTCAATAGTATGTTGTGATGGATTGGGTCCAGCTGCATCTTTTATTTTATCACTACAATCCATGACACACCTTTGCAATCGGTTCTAAAAGAAATAATATTTATCAAGTATATTGACTTTTAGGTTAAAAACAAATGAAACAAAATTTACTTGAATTCTTTCAATTTCATCTCTAGCGAAGTCTTGGGCCTGATCCAACGACTGATTACAATTTTGGACACACTTCTGAATTTTTTGTATACTGTACGTCTCGTTGTCACAACAGTTTGCAGCACACCTATATGCATCACCCTAAAATTAAATACCACATTCCCCATAGTTTATTAATCTTTTACTTTTTATAAATTATAAATTCGAATAGTAGCTTGTACAATCTTTTAGTAACAGAATGTTACGAAGCGCGTGTTTCATAGTATAACCTGAAAGTATTACTATCTCAAAGCACCTTCATTTTTCTCATTGATTTGTCAATTTCCTCTAATATTCTACTTGTATGCTCTTCGACACGTTTTTGCTGCTCCTCAACCATTTCGGTTCTTTTGTTTAAAACTTATCAATATCGAAGTAAACGAAACTTAAAACAACCGGTATCCCGTAGCATATATTACTGTACAACCTCGTGCATAGAAACATAAAGATTAGATTGGTGATTGTACATGTGCGGTTGCATAATTGAATAACAAGTCAAATATTCATTGAACGAATATTTTCCCCAATCAGATAGTATTTTAAAGGGCGGTGAGAAAATGTTCCTTTTTTTTTTTGAAAACGCGCCCTAAGAAAGGGTACAACGATCCGATAATGAAGCTGCGCCAAAAATGTGCGCTAGAACAGAATTATATCTTGCGCATACGCAGTTGGCATAGGGTACGGTCCATGCGAATTAGAAACCATTCCGGTCGCTGTTCTTCACTTGGCCGGTTAAGATGTTGAGTGCCGCATCGAAAGCAGCCTCTGGGGCCCTAAGGGCCGTCAAACCAACCCTTCTTCAAAATGAAGTTGCTAAAATCTCAGGAGCCCTGTCAGTAAATAGTAAGTACTCAATAAGAAATTATTTCCTGAATTTCACTAACTTTCGTTCCTATTCGCATTACTTACAGATTTTGAACACTGTGCTTCGTTGCACTGTAGTCTGGACGTTACCGAATACTGATTATTATCTAGTATAAACTGCTATTTTTTCGATATTTTTATTCAACTCACATTCTTCTTTTCTTGATTGACATATGAACGTTGAAAAAAAGAAGCATTGTATTGATTATATAATCCATATTATTCGACCAAACTACAGTGGTAATACCACTGTGCCAACATGGCGGCATTAAGGTCATCGATTAATTTTTTAGTACATTGAAATGATTTGCTAGTATGGTTACAATTAATATTTTGACTGTGATTTGAATTTTATTCGAGTCCTGTTTGTTCTTCTTCAATATCCATTGCTATGTCATAAAAAGTCGTTCCCCTTATCTTCAGTCATGTCTCGTGGACTAGATGCGATCTTAACTCTCGATATAAATTTTTCAAACATTACATACAAATAATTAGTAATATTTAATGTAATATTTAGATTATAAATGTTTATGCAACAGGGAATTAAAAATTTAGTTTTTTTCTTGGTCAAATATATGTATGTAGTTTGTATTATGTAACCTACCTTTCATAAGCATTATCTAATATTTTATAAACTTCTAAAAATTTAGTGATTATTTTATTTGAGACTTTTGGTACAAGCATACATTTTATAAAATAACATTATGTGCTAAATACATAATTTTAAAAGTTTCTGTATAATGTACTATGTAAAAGAACAAACATCAAAAGGAGTAATTTATAATTATTATAATTTATAATTAGGCAGGGATTATGCAAAAGCTGCAAATTCAAAGGGTGGATTACAAGGAAAGATTGTGGCTGTCATTGGTGCTGTTGTTGATGTACAATTTGAGGATGATCTTCCACCAATTCTTAATTCCTTGGAGGTAAAAGATCGTACTCCTAGGCTAGTTCTTGAAGTAGCTCAGCATCTAGGAGAGAGCGTAGTGCGCACCATTGCTATGGATGGTAATTTCATTTTGTTGTTGGAATAAAATACATAAAGTATAAAAGAAAAACAAACATTTGATATAATTTTATGACAACTATGCAGGTACTGAAGGTTTGGTTCGTGGTCAAACTGTTCTGGATTCTGGATATCCCATTCGTATTCCTGTTGGTGTTGAAACATTGGGTCGTATTATTAATGTCATTGGCGAACCAATTGATGAGCGTGGTCCAATTCCTACAGACAAACTTGCTCCCATCCATGCAGATGCTCCTGAATTTGTAGATATGTCTGTTGAACAGGAGATTTTGGTAACTGGAATTAAAGTCGTCGATCTTCTTGCTCCCTATGCCAAAGGAGGAAAAATCGGTAAATTTTCTAATTTTATTATATATTATATATTTATAATGTGTAATTTGTTGTTACTGTTATTCATAATCGTTGATTTAAATAGGTTTGTTTGGCGGTGCTGGTGTTGGAAAAACTGTACTGATTATGGAACTGATTAACAATGTCGCCAAGGCTCATGGTGGTTACTCTGTATTCGCTGGAGTGGGTGAACGTACCCGTGAAGGCAATGACTTGTATCATGAGATGATTGAATCTGGTGTTATTTCATTGAAAGACAAGACCTCCAAAGTAGCTCTGGTATATGGTCAAATGAATGAACCGCCAGGCGCTCGTGCTCGTGTCGCTTTGACTGGTTTAACTGTTGCCGAATATTTCCGCGATCAAGAAGGTCAAGATGTATTGCTATTTATTGATAATATCTTCAGGTTTACTCAAGCCGGTTCGGAAGTATGTATTATCATTCCTCTAGTGCATTGCAGCTTCATAATTAAGACTTTCATTAATAATTATTTTCTTTTCAAGGTATCAGCTTTGCTGGGTCGTATTCCATCCGCTGTAGGTTATCAGCCAACCTTGGCAACTGATATGGGTAGCATGCAAGAACGTATTACAACGACAAAGAAAGGATCCATCACTTCTGTGCAGGCTATTTATGTACCTGCTGATGACTTGACTGATCCTGCTCCTGCTACCACCTTTGCTCACTTGGACGCTACAACTGTATTGTCTCGAGCTATTGCCGAATTGGGTAAGTATAACTTCTTATAGTTATACTTAATAAAATTAAATGGTATGAATATTTAACATTTTTTTCCGAAACACTAGGTATCTATCCTGCTGTCGATCCTCTTGATTCTACTTCTCGTATCATGGACCCCAACATCATCGGGCCTGAGCATTACAACGTTGCTCGTGGTGTGCAGAAAATCTTGCAAGATTATAAATCGCTTCAAGATATTATCGCTATCTTAGGTATGGACGAGTTGTCGGAAGAAGACAAACTTACTGTAGCACGTGCGCGTAAGATCCAGAGGTTCTTGTCTCAACCATTCCAGGTATGTAGATTAATTCTTAGTAGTGTTAAGTTTTCATTACGTTCTTTCTATTAACTAATGTTTTGTTTTTATTTAGGTTGCTGAGGTGTTCACCGGTCATGCCGGCAAATTAGTACCGTTAGAAGAAACTATTAAAGGATTCAAGAAGATCCTTGGTGGAGATTATGATCATCTGCCAGAAGTCGCGTTTTACATGGTTGGGCCAATTGAAGAAGTAGTAGCGAAAGCAGAAACATTGGCACAACAATAAACCGATTCACAGTCATCGTAATCATGTCATTAAGAAGTAATTAAAACGATCTTCTAATAATACAGGCCTGTTTCTTTTATATCTCTAAATATTAGTTTTCATCCAAAAGTAAAAGGGGTCTTTGAACAAAATTGTAGAACGTGGATTAGAAGATTGTTTTTTGCATTGTTCTAACGTTCACAAGAAACATACGAATTTATCGAGAACATCGTGAACATAATTAATCGTAAATTTTATACAAATTCGTGTAATTTCGTTCAGGGTGTTTTCGTTATCCATAGATCGAATCGATATTGTTATTATTTAACATATACTTTACACGTTATAGTATATGTTAGGAATTAATAAAAATTTTACAAAAACATGTGGACAAACTGTACAGTTGAAAAGATCCTCCGACATTGTAAAGCATTTTTTTCGAATTCAGTCAGGAAATAGGAAAACTACATTTTTATTTCTAAATATGAAAAATATACATTTATTAAAATAATTAAAATTCTGAAAAATGTGTCACAATATAAAATAATACTGTTCGTATTTAGTGTTATACGTCATATTCAATCATAGGTTTTTCTAACCGATAAGTGTCTTTCAGCATCTGAAATATAAAATACCATTTAATAATAGAATTTAACAGTTACGATAACATTACCTTCCATTGCTCCATATTTAGATAAATCACATTTTGAATGTTCGGAATTTTTCCTGCCGTCACTTGAGTCATCATATCTTTTGTACTGGGCTGAACAAGAAGTATTCCCGATGCGTCTATCGACAAACTAGTGTTTAATAGATAGAATAAGAATAACATTTTTTTTTAGGAATTGCCGAAATTACCTTTTGTTATTTTTACTCTTCCATCTCGGACAAGGAAAGATATTTGTAAAATATTTTCGATGGTTTTTCCAAAATCACTTGGGTGTAGAACTAATTTGAAGAAATCAAGAGGTTTCCGGTGGGTTTTACAATATCTCGTTATAAATTGTTTCATTTTTACAGTTCGTTCTGGACCATCTTCTTCTTTATCAACTGTTGTAATATTCTCTGGTTTTCTTATTTGTGCTTGAACGTCTCTAACTACCGACTTCCTTTTATTAATTTCCTTCTTTTCTAATGGTGCCAAAGTACCTGGGAAAAAAATGCATTAGTACCTAATATTAGAAGAACAATTTTTAGCAATGAAATTTTATAAAACCTGATAATGTGCTATAGTGAGGTGTCCTTTTAAAACATTTTATAGCTTTTCTTTCTAGAACTGACCAATCTGGTGTTTCTGATTGAACATTAGAGAGTTGCCTTAAATGTTTTACCTAAGTTAATTACATTTATGGAATTTATTGCAGAAACAATTAAGAATAGCAGAAGTAACATACTTATTATGGTACATACAAGTTTTTGGGCAAATTCCACATGATTATATGAGCTTACATAATTTGTTAAATGTCTAGTACATTGTTTTAAAACTTTGGAAGATATGCTCATCATTTCTGAGTCCATTAAAATTTCATCTTGATTATGTACTGAGAACAACATTATAAAATAATAAATATACATATTTGAAGATATCAAATTGCATAAAGTGAAAAATATGAAAAAATAATATACATTTTTCTTCTAGAGTTGTTTCAGAGTTTATGGTGTCTGTTTGTTCCATGCATACTTCCAAACTCTGTATGGTATTATCAGTAATCATATCTTCTAAAAAAAATATACATTAAATGAAACATTTATTTTTACTACAATATATGTAAAAAGTCTTACGTAGAGATTCAGCTTCATTTATAATTTTCCTTAGAATTTCTTTGCGTTCTTGCGGTGATCGTACAATCGATAATCTTTCATTAGAATCTGAATTATTTCTACTCATTTTGAATTATTTTGCACTAAAAAATTCAAAGTAAAATTGTATAATTATTATTAATTTCAGTATATTACAAAATAATAAGGATTAATAATGTTTACAATTGATGAGTAATTGATTAATTTGATAAATAATAAATAATTAAGAATAATGTTTACATTCCTTTAACCCTTTTGTTACTATTGGCGCCTATAGGCGTCTTGAAAATTTGCTCACACTATACTGTTCACGCTTTCTGATGCACTTCCACCTTGATTCGATAAACCGAATTTTAAAACGATCCGGCCGAAATAAGAAATTTTGCGGAATTTTTTAAAAATTTACCGTCAGTCAGCCACGTTACGCGTTAAAATCTGCCGTAGCGAAAAGGTTATTGCAACGACAATAAAGGCTTGTTAACGCGTAGTAATCAGCAGACCCAGTACTAACTGATATGACAGACTAGGACTCTGTGTCACATGGTTTGTGTAGTTCACGAGCTTCTTTATTATTTTCATATCACTTACGACGTTACCGAGTCAGCATAGAAGTCATTACAGCACTAGTAGCAATGAGAATTGAAATTAACAATAAATATGACAATAAAATAAAGCACCTTATGCTAAATTTATACCTCATACAATCAGATTGTGTACCTCATCTGCGCTTGAATATAATTTTTAGAGCCATCACGTTAAATTGTAGACGACACAAGAAAATCAGTGATTTTTTTCCAGGTCGGTACTTCAGTACATGTGACACAAAGTTCCGTAAGGTGATACGTCTATTCTGTACCTCGTCTGTGGTATTAGCATGATTGTATCTTTACAAAATTATTTGTTGAAAAGCACATTTAATGTAATTGTTTCGTAATGATTCTTTTGTGATATAAATTGATTGAAAGTGTGAGTAATAAAACAAGACCTAACAAAGAAAGTTTTTGACACAGAACTGAAACGTATTCCGGGAGAAACTTTGACAGTTTGTGGTTTCAAGCAATCATAAGTTTTTATTTAATCAAAAAATTGAAGAAACGGGCATGGAAAATACTTCAAATAAGGTATTAATTGTGATTTTTTAATAGCAGAGAACGATAATATGTCAATTGTGTAAAATTACTTTGCAGGAAGAACAAAATAATCAGGATGATACAGACTCTGAAGTAGATGAAGTAGAGCCTAGATTGAAATATGCAAGGTTGCGAAACGATTTAGAACGTATATTACAAAATGATGCAGCTAGTTGTATTGCAGTACATCCTAAGGTGTGTGATGTAATTACTAATATTTTTGTAAAATTTTTGGTACAGCTAACTTAAAGATATCATATTGTGAAGGTTAAGTAATTTTATGTATAATATTATACAGGTTTGAATTCTTAAACAATGTTCTAAATGATATCTAGAACATGTTACAATATTATATATTATAAATATTTATTTTTGTTCAGTTCCTATGCCTAGGTTCACACTGGGGTATGATACATCTTTTAGATCATCAAGGAAACAATATACAATCTAAGAGTCTGCAAACACATACAGTTGCTGTAAATCAGATTTCTATAGACCATAATGGAGATTTCGTTGCATCTTGTAGTGATGATGGAAAAGTTTTTATATATGGTCTTTATAGCACAGAGAACAATCATAATATGAGTATGGGCAGATTAGTTAAAAGTATAGCTATAGATCCAAATTATTATAAAAATGGTAGTACAAGAAGATTTATCACAGGTAGTTATTTTTCTTTGTATTTCATTTTTAATCCTTTAAAAAGTAGCTTCTAAGATATTCAAATTATTTTTAGGGGATGATAAATTGGTTTTGTATGAAAAAACTTTTTTATGCAGAATGAAATTAAGTGTACTATCTGAGGCAGAAGGTGGAGTAAGATCAATTGCATGGAATGGACACTTCGTAGCATGGGCATCTGATACTGGTGTTAGAGTTTATGATTTAAATGCCAGATGTTCATTAGGTCTCATTAGATGGCCTAGGTCTGCTCAGTAAGTAGGGGAGTGTTATATTCAGCTTTAGAAAGCATTAACACTAGAATAATTTTCAATAATATAATAATGTTTTATACAGTGCATTACCAGAACATTATAGATGTAATCTGCGGTGGTCAGATGAGAGGACATTATTAATTGGGTGGGTTGATATAGTACGTACATGTCAGATTAGGAAGAGATCAGTGCAGGAGATGGTTAATAGAGATTTACCAGAATATGCAGTAGACCCAGGTATGATAATATAAGTATCATTAAATATGTAAACAATAATGAAAATACAGCATACAATGGACTTTTAATTTTAGTTTCAACATTTCAAGTGGACTTCTACATTTCTGGTATTGCACCCTTAGAAAATCAGTTAGTACTGTTGGGTTGTGTGAAGGAATTAGATCCAAATGGAAACCGTCAAAGGCCAACATTGCATGTTGTTAAACCAATGTTTGAAGATTTTTCTATTGTCTGTGCAAACAGTCTTACACTTCGTGGTTATAAAGAATACAGTTGCAATGATTATCATTTAGATTGCTTGAAAGAAGAAAACAGGTATTCTATTTATTTTTATTAGTTGTATTATTTTTAAATTGTTCCTTATTTTTCTATATTTGTGTTTAGGTTTTTTATTGTAAGTCCAAAGGATATTGTTGTAGCTAGTTTATATGATGCAGATGACAGAATTGAGTGGTTGTTAAATCGTGAAAAGTTTGAGCAAGCATTAGAGGCAGTAACAGTAAATAATGGCAAAGACTGTAAGAAATACACTTTAGTTAGTGTCGGCCGTGAATATTTAGACCATTTGCTAGCTTCTGAAAAGTACGATGAAGCAGGCAAACTCTGCTTAAAAATTTTCGGAAATGATAAGCAACTGTGGGAGGGAGAAGTTAATATCATTTTTTCAAATTACTATTTCTCATTTCATTTGCAACGTTACTAATATTATTTTATTGTAGGTATATAAATTTGCAAGAATTCATCAGTTACGGTCTATCTCTTCCTATCTTCCAAGAGGCAACGTGAAGTTAGAGCCAGTGGTTTATGAAATGGTTCTTTATGAATATTTAAAAATGGACCCTAATGGATTTCTCCAACTAATCAAAGAATGGTCCCCAAAATTGTATAAGGTTGCAGCTATTGTAAATGGTATTTTGGAGCACCTTTTAGTTCCTAATCAACCACAGAATGTAGCAGTGCTACTAGAAGCCCTAGCTATCTTATATACTCACGATGGAAAGCATGACAGAGCATTAGCTATGTACTTAAAGTTGAAGCATAAAGATACATTTGAATGTATTCAAAAGTGCAAACTGTATCACGCTGTACATGACATGATAGAACGTTTAATAGATGTAGATCCAGAACGTGCAATAGAATTTTTGTTAGAAAAGAACCATGTGCCATCTGCTGTTGTTGTAGAAAAATTACAACATAATCATCAATATTTATACTGGGTAAGCTATTGAAAGAACATGAAAAATAAATATTATAATTTACCTTTTGAAATAACTATATTTCAAAGGTGATTTATATCAGTATTTAGATGCATTAGATAAGAAAGATATAAAAGATTCGGACAAACACCATGGATTACTAGTTCAACTTTACGCTGACTTTTCAAGAGATAAACTGTTACCACTTTTACGTCGCTCTGATAGTTATCCAATACAACAAGCACTGGACATTTGTAGTAAAAAAAAATTCTATCCAGAAATGGTATATCTACTCGGTAGAATAGGAAATACCTCTGAAGCTTTAGCACATATGACCAGAGAATTAAATGATATAGAAAGCGCGATCGCATTTTGTCAAGAACACAACGATGAAGAACTGTGGAATGACTTAATCAATTACTCTCTACATGAACCTAGTAAGTAATAGAAACACTATTTTATATATTTTTTAACTGTACTAAATAAAATTATTTCTTTTCAGAGGCTATTACGTTCCTGCTTCAAAAAATAGGCACGTATGTCGATCCTACTCTTATGGTAGAAAAAATACAACCGTCTTTAGAAATTCCAGGTTTAAAAAATGCTTTAGTTAAAATGTTATGTGATTATAATCTCCAAGTGTCGGTACAAGAGGGCTGCAATAAAACTTTATCCAATGACTATTTTAATTTACTCGAAAAGATGGTTAAATGTCATCAGAAAGGAATATTGATAGATGGTTGGTATGAAAGAACTGTAACTGTGAAATGCAAACATTTCATTTATATTAATAATTATATCTTCTGCTTTAGACGATCAAATGTGTGTAGTCTGCAATACCAAAATAATTGTTAGAGGTAACTATTAAAATAACACAAATCATATACATTTAGGATTAACAGTATTTTTATTATATTGTATTGTTTATTACAGAACCAAGAAATTTAGTTGTATATTATTCTAAACACACGTTTCACGAACATTGCTCAGCAGATTTAAAAGTAGTGGTAAGTATGTTAATTTTATATAACTTAGGAAGTATTTTCAAGTGTTTATGTATTTTCACTTTATTTTTCAGAATTCTGTTATATGTAATTCCCATATCCATATGTAACTTCCATAACTCTATACATCTCTTGGCAGAAAATACTACAGGTAAAATTTTTTAGCTTTAACACAAGTTTTGTACGATTTCATAAATTTTCGATAACTATTCTTATTTTAATTTTCTTAATATCTCATCAATGGTGAAACATTTTGTACATTTCTTGAATACTTTAAGGCATCCGGGACATTTCGAATAAGACTGGAAATGAAAAAATTATGTAAGATGTTCCATAAACATATAATAATATACAGTTTCAGTATAAATACATATAAAATTTACCTTATGCTTGTCACAGACTTTTATAATGCTGTTACATTCATCACAAATTCTCTTTAATTGCAGAGAAACATCAAGCACACTACTTGTCCAACTAGTCGTATCATTTTTTTTTTGAATGTTTAATACAGTATCAGCTTCAACTTCCGAGGAATTAGATATTGTAGAATTGTCAAAACTCTGAAATTAATTATTCGTTTTAATGTCGAGGATACTCATATTTCAAAGTATCTACCTTCGTCTTATGATACTCCTCCGTAGAAGATGTCGAGGAAATTTCGTCTTGCGCGGTGCACTCTATATAGAATCCACAGATGCTACATAGAACACCTGTCTCTGTTTCTGCCAGCTGCGGTTTTACATCAGTGTCACTATCTTCTGTCAATGTACTGGTCTCCCAGATTATTGGGTCTTTTGCAAACACTTTGAAATGTTGTATCGTAAAGTCTATCACGTTTTGAGGTTTTACTGTGGAGACCAGTCAATTACAAGTAATTAATATATTATCGTAAAATGCAAAATGCAATACGACCTGTTTAAGAATAATTGGTACAATGTTTCCCCAGTTGAGAAACTGATTACCAACTAGCAGTGTCTGAACGTAATCCGAGATTGTTTGTTTTATTTCTGGATGGTCATCTAAATATTCTGTATTTTCAGCTATTTTGGAAGACTGTTAATGACATAAAATATACTTTTTATTTCTGTAAATTACTTCATAATAAGGATATTTAACATTATTTTCTTACTTTCATATCCAAATATTTGGAGAACATTTCAATATCTTCTTTCCAACGATCTTTTAATGGTGTTTCTATTCTTATTGTTTTACTCGGGACCTTTGGATCGGCTAATGGGTTAATCTTCAAAAGATACGCCGCATCGAGCCAATTATGTCTAAGTATTCTACCTTCCGATGTTAAATAAGTTTTTATAGTATGAATAGCTCCATCTTCTCTCTGCATTTTGCGCTCGATTGTATAGATGTTTAAGAAATTATCTATCTATCTATCTTTCTATCTATCTATATATCTATCTATCTATATTTTCTTACATAATTAGATTCTGTAAGATCTCCATCTATGGTAATGCTCTCGAAAGATAATGTTCCTTCATAATTTATAAGGGACAAATATCGCATAAGTAATATATTTACACCTTCGCTTATTAGTTTGCTGTTAGCACAAAAGGACAAATCTTTTGTTTGGATAGATTTATCGCATGGGCAAGTGCTTGTTAATTTTACATGGTAAAAGTTGTCCTCGATGCCTATAAAAATTCCTTTTTCGTGCAGTCCATCATCGTATACAAATCTATGATATTATGTAACATTAATGTTATCTAAGTGAATATGCAAAGATAGAAGTTTATTAAAATAGACCAACTCTGTTCTCTTCTCCTCTAGACAGTGGAATTTCGACGTTATCGTGCTGATTATTTTTGACCCACCGAAATGACCATCAATGGACATCGAAGATTGCACGTGCACTAAAAATTCGCGAGCCTGAGGCCCGATGGACTCTACCAGAATGCAATAACTGCCTATTGGCTTCGTGTTCCTTATAGATTCATTCTTTGAATAAATTACCATGGCTTCTCGGAAGCATAAAGCTTCTCGTTTCACATCATCTGAAGTACAAAAACAAGAAAACGTGGTATTCAGAGGATGCGGCGTAATATTTTTTCCAGGAAAGATCTACTGTTTAACAGTCAAAATGACATAACTTATAAAACCGCTACATTCCACGTATACCTGATTTCATCAGCGACGAATAAATTTACCAGTTTGTACATTATATATTTTTCTATATTAGATTTTATTACATACAAGTTTTTGTGAACGTTTATTCATTTTATTTATCAAATATCTTTATTTGTTGCTGGAGAAATCTGGCTTGAGCGAATTACACGAATGGGATGGTGGACAAGAATCTTTTATCTAAAAAATTTGTAACAATTTCATTATCTATGTATGATTATTTTAATTACGAGTCCACAATTTACTGTACATACTAATGTATAGATTGAGATTTTGGAATGACATTATTTTACAACAAAATATGCGAAAAGGAATAATTTTTTTTTTTACGTTAATATGTACAGTAAGAAATTTGTCAAATTGTTACTACTATGGAATATTCTGTATTTTATACAACAAGGTGCCATTATTGTATAAAATGATTTTAATATGTTCTGTGGTACATAAGAGATTTTATCAGTACACAGTCCGCGTATAATCTCACATTTATATCTAGGTCTCCGTGTAAATATTGTATCTAAGTTGCAGTGTAGAACAATAATAGTTTGTAAAATACAATTAATATATAAATTTTTCACGTCGCTTAAAAAGCTGTAATAATTCATCACTCTTAGGGTTTCTTCGCGACAGTGTTTATAATTAAAGTGTTTTGTCCATTTTATTAAAAAGAAGGAAAGGTTAAATTTACCGAGGAAGAACTCAGGGATCCATTTTCCAATGTCAAATAACTTACAGGGAATTTCTCTTTCATTCGACATTTCGTCTATTTTTATATATAACATTTAAAAGAAAGGAGAAAGAAAACAAAGAGAAGTTAGTATCTTTTGTCTGCAGCTTCATTTGAAAGTAACTTCTCTATAAAGGTATACTAAAATCTTAAAAACTATACAGTATCATGCGTGATTTTGTTGAAAAGTTTGTAAAATGAGAATGAAACGAGGAGTGCCAAAAAAACGGTTGAACGTTCATATATGCGAGTTACCAAAGACATCGGACAGTAATTTGCCGAAATTACCGCCGAATGTAAAATTTTACACACGTTGGAAACGGAATTTCCAAAAATTATTCCTTGTTTCTGTGAGTCATCCCTTAACACGACATTTTTTGCGTAGCTGTGCCGCGATTGCCTTCGAAAAAAGAAGGCATGGACGTTCTTCATTCTGGTGGGTAATACATCCATGCAGTGACTTAAGGTAATTCTTATTTTTCAACCGCAAATTTTTCCAAATGTTTGTCATAGCGAAATTTCAATGAAATTAAATTGTAAAATATATTTATTTATGCAGGTACTACTGGGACCTTTTAATGACATTCATATTCTTGTACATGTTTATCGTGGTGCCGTATATTTTGGCATTTCATAGAGTCGCGAAAAGTTCTGGACCAGAAAGTTGGTATCCAGTGTACCCTGCATATGTAATTTGTATCTTTGATATTATTCTTAATTTTATGACCGGATTCAGTTCACCGGATGGTCACGAAATTTTCCTGGATCCATTATTGATAACACGGTAATTTATCGATTTCGCCTTTTCCTGTTAATTAAGAAAATAATTAAACTGTGATTTTTGTACAGACATTATACAAGAGGCTATTTTTTTATCGATTTTGTGTCTTCAGTTCCGTACTCATGGTTTTATAATGATCGTATTCTACCTCCGGGTCCCAATTCAAATTCCATTTTATTGATTCCTGAATGTTTACCAGCATTAAAAATTTTACGCATTTACACATTACGTCTCTACATAAGACAAATAATTGCAGTAAGAACTACGAATAAAAAATTATTTAAATAAAAAAGAAAAATCATAAATAAGGAAAACTATCTATTGTTTAGAATTTTACAATTTCTCACGCTGAAGAGAAAACTGTTTGGTTAGTACTTTTGATGTTGTTGATATTTCATTGGTGTAGCTGTGTAACACACGTTTTTCCATTTATTATCATACATTTAACTGGTAAGACTATCGAGGTACGTTTAGATTCATTTAAGCTTGAGTTCGTTTTAACCCTCCAATTAAAACAATTTGCTACATATGTAATTATATAGAATTCAGATATGTTTTTTGTTACTACCGGATTGAATAAGAAGTCCAACTCGGAAATTTATTTAATGTATTTTCATATGGGCATGAGCAATTTCTTTGGATCGAGTTTTATAGAGTTCCATTCATTAGGCAAATCGGATACTATGATACGTTGTATTTTAGTGCTGTTTGGAAAAGGATGTATCATTTATCTCATGGGTAATTCTCTTTCTTGAGATACAACTAATTGTGTCTAAAAAGGTATTTTTTTCTAATTACTCTTTCTATTGCGACAGTTATAGTCCTGCAACTGGTACAGTCAGCTGCAGAACCAGAATTAAAATATCAACGAATTATGCATCGAGTCAAAGAATATATTCAAGAGAAAAAATTGCCAGAAAATTTAAAAAATAAACTTATTGCTTATTACGAGTATCGTTTTCAAGGCAGTTACTTTAAAGAAAATGCAATATCGAGCACTTTATCCAGTTAGTATTCGGTATGAAGACGAATATAATTTCAACAATTTTTCTTTGAAATAAATTTTTATTTGTTTATCCTCAGATCATTTAAATCAAGAAATTATGGTTCATAGTAGCCGCGGATTATTAGACACAGCTACTATTTTGCATTATTTACCGCGCCACCATTTTCTTTTACGATTACAAATATTTATAGGGGTATTGAAGCCGGTTATATATCTTAATGAGGATATCATATATAAAAGTGAAACTGAAGGCGATTGTATGTTCTTCATAGTTAGTGGAACCGTTGCACTTATCACATTTAGTGGAAGAGAAGTATGCAATACTTGTTTCACGTTAAAATATGTATTATATGTAGTAATTATTTTATTTGATGATAAAAAAGTTACAAAAAAATATTTATTTTATTCTTATGAGATATGTCATGAAAAGGATGGAGGCTATTTCGGTGAAGCTGCCTTAATATTTCCGGATCGTAGAAGATTAGAAACTGTAATCGCATTAGAAGTATGTGAATTGTTACGCTTAAATCGTCGTGATTTCAAACGTATGTTTTCTTCGACGTCAACTTTTTATAAGAGATTAGAAAAAGTTAGCAAGGAGAGATACCAGCACATTAGCAATTTAAGTATCAATGACGAAAATGTAAATTTGGAGGAAAATACGTTAATAAATGTTGAAAATAATCAACAAGAGGGAGATGCCAAAATTAGTAATAACAACGATAATGTTAAAACGAAATATGACAATAGATCAGATTGAAATATTAAATTAATTGTAAAATATTTTTCGAATATTGTAAAATGAAAATGTTAGGTCGTACCGTCATTGGTTGTGTCAATTACGTTCAGTTGCATGCGTACAATTCAACAGTACTTTCGGTGTCGCAAGTTGCGAAATTTTGGATCCCGAGCAGAAGTTACGCAATGTAATTAATTTAGTTGCAATATTAAAACCTGTAATACAGTTAAATTGCTTTTCAATTTTAATTTTAAACCGGTTCATTCCAAACAGCTGTGAAGTGCATCGTGCAATGATGTCACTTCATGATTATTTATCGTAATCATTTTGTACTAACAGTATTAGCTCGTTGTTATAGTTTTATGATATTATTTTATTCAGTACTAATATTTTATTCAAATTATGATAATATGAATTATTAACATTATAATGATGTAATAAAAGGTTAAGTAAAAAAGTTTGACAGGGCTCATACACGTGGCCGGAACACGTGTCATTTTATTTAAATAATTTATATTATTATTAGTCGCATTATTATAACTTAGAAATCTTATTTTTTCTTTTTTTTATTTAGAACAACAACCATGGTTGAGTTAAAGTGGGCAGAAAAATATGAACTCATCACTAGAAATTTGGCTGAATGGCTTGGTGATGAAAAACTTAAAAGTATTTTAAAAGAGCGAGATTTAAAGCTTTATTGGGGTACTGCTACAACTGGTAAACCTCATATTGGCTACTTTACACCAATGTCTAAAATAGCAGATTTCTTAAGAGCTGGTGTAGAAGTTACTATATTATTTGCTGATCTTCATGCCTACTTGGATAACATGAAAGCACCTTGGGAACTTTTAGAACTTCGCACTCAATATTATGAAACTGTTATTAAAGCAATGCTTAGGTCTATTGATGTACCTTTAGATAAGTTGAAATTTGTTAAAGGAACAGATTACCAATTATCTAAGTGAGTAATTACACATAAACAGATAAAAAAATTTGAAACATGTACTATATAAAATTTTTTTTATTGTAGAGAATATACATTAGATTTATATCGTTTAGTTTCTGTTGTAACTGAGCATGATGCAAAAAAAGCAGGTGCTGAAGTAGTTAAACAAGTTGCAAACCCCTTACTCTCTGGATTGTTGTATCCAGGTTTGCAAGCTTTGGATGAACAGTATCTTGAAGTTGATGCCCAATTTGGTGGTGTAGATCAAAGAAAGATTTTTACCTTCTCAGAAAAATATTTGCCAATGCTTGGTTATGAAAAACGTATCCATTTAATGAATCCTATGAGTATGTATGCAATATAAAGTCACTAAATGTTACATCTATCCCCTAAAATTAATATAATACAACACATAAAATTTCATTTCAGTCCCTGGGTTGGCAGGATCAAAAATGTCTTCTTCTGAAGAAGACTCTAAGATTGATCTCTTAGATAATGCTGCAGCAGTTAAGAAAAAATTAAAGAAAGCATTTTGTGAGCCTGGTAATGTTAATGACAATGGAGTTCTTGCATTTGCTAAACATGTAATATATCCTTTATTAAAAGAAGGAGAAACTTTTAATATAAATAGAACTGCAGAATTTGGTATGTTTAGTTTTGATATTTTTGTTAAGTTTACCTTGTTAAAAGATTTTACTAACACAGAATATTTATTTGTAGGTGGGGATGTATCATATGATAAATATGAGGATTTGGAAAATGCATTTGCTAAGGAAGAAATACATCCTGGAGATTTGAAAAGTGCAGTTGAAATTTATATTAATAAATTGTTAAATCCAATTAGAAAGGAATTTGAAGCAGATGCAGGATTTAGAAGCTTAGCTACTAAAGCATATCGTCCACAAAAGCCAAGTAATATTTCACATAGAAGATACGAAAATTAATCAACTGATAAATTTAAATAATAATGTAAAATTTGTGTTAAATATTTAGAAGTTGTCGAAGAGTTAACACCCGCTCGATTAGACATTAGAGTTGGAAAAATAGTTGAAGTGTCAAAACATCCTGATGCTGATTCACTTTATATAGAGAAGATAGATCTTGGAGAACCTACTGGGCCACGCACAATAATTAGTGGTCTTGTAAATTATGTACCATTAGAAGAAATGCAAGATAGAATGGTAGTTATCCTTGCCAATTTGAAACCTGCAACTATTAGAGGTGTCCAGTCTCATGGAATGGTTTTATGTGCATCAGTGTATGTCTCGATTCAATCAATATATTATTTTATTACATTTAATAGTTTCTTTAATAATGTATTTGCGATATAGAGACGAACCAGAGAGACGAGTTGAACCCTTGAGACCTCCGTCGGATAGTAAACCAGGTGAAAAAGTTGTTGTGGAGGGATATGAGGATGGAGCACCAGATGATGTACTTAATTCCAAAAAGAAAGTCTGGGAAAGATTACAAGTACGTTTATTACGTTTTACATGATATAATAAAAAATTACATATTCACAGTTTACTAAAATTTAATTTTTGATACAGGGCGATCTTGTAGTAAATGGCAATAGAGAAGCGTCTTGGAGTGGAAATGTTTTACTTACCACCAGTGGTGGAACAATCACAGCTGATAGCCTTAAAAACGTGGCAATTAAATAATATACCTCAGATATCTAGGTATCCATGCATTTTTATTTTTTACTCGTGCAAAGAATAAATTGAATCGACTATTCGATTGAGAAGTGCTTTATATATAAAACTGCCGTTTTTATTTTATTTAATTGTTTGCATCATGATTTAGTATATTTCAAATGTAAGTATGCGACATAAAAATAGATGAAAAGTGCATTTATGAACGAGGTTTAATTTATTAGAAGATATTTATCCTGTCCTTATTGTAACCCTTAATGAAGTATATAGAGCACATCGAAATTAAAATAAATTGACGTCTAAATTTGTTCATATAATGGTGGACGAAATATTCGGTATTATTTCTCTATCATTATAGTTCGTTCGTACACAAGGAGATCGTGGCCTTAGAGCATGGAGATTCTGTGGTTTTAACTGTGAGACACTGCATGGCTTCGATTCTTGTTTTTTCTTCTTTCGGATGAGCCAAGATGTGGCAGGGCATAATGCTAATTCCTTTCTCATTGAACTGCTACTGCAACCGTATAACAAAGGATTTATTGCTGCATTAACCAGTACCAGGTATCTGCTAATATACCTGTAAAAATTGTAGAATATATGTGTATATATGTTGCACAATATTTTATTAGTTATGTATGTGCACGTATATTTAAATTTTATGGAAATAATTACCATAATGGATAGATAGCTTCTGCTTGTCCCGTTTTGGGTCTTTCTTTTAATAGTTGTGTCCTTCGAATTATTAACGCAGCGAATGGTACACGGCATATGATAAACGCTAAAACTATAAGCGCCAGTACTTGCGCTACTCTTCTTTTATATTTCATCACAATAGAATACTTACTTCTCAGAGCTTGCGATTCGTAGCGGTCTAACTACAAATTAGAAGTGTAGTATAGAATTATAATTGCATTTTTATATTATACATAAAAAAGATTAAATAATACTTTGATGAGAATAGCTGAGTAACATATTGTCATGACAACCAATGGTACCCAGACGCTTAAACCCGCAAAAATATGCCAATAAGGATAGACAAGCACAGTGTCGTCAGTGCAATATGTTTCTAAATAATTTTTCCATTGTCTTTCGTAATAGTGTCGGAAACAGACTAAAGGACTAGCGACGGCTATTCCAGAAATCCAGGTAGAGAAGAGTATAACATACGTCATCCTTCAACATAAAAATAGATACCATTTTTTCGCAAAAGTTTCTAATTATTGTCAGTACTTCGTAATATTACCTTCTTGTCAATTTTCCCGAGCAATTAAAGACGATAGCTGAGACACGATCATAACTGATTGCACTTAAATTAAACACGGCGACCAATGTCAAAGTGTGCACCAAGGATCCATCCAGTCGACAACCAATCTCTCTCAAAATATAATTTTGAAACAAATCGATGCAAAGAAACATCCATGAGCATATTAAACAAGTACCTAGATCTGCGATACACATATTCACCATCAAGAGATTTGTCATGGTGTGTAGAGATTTTTCTTTGAGTACCACATAAATTAATCCGCTGTTAGCTAAAGATCCGATGACGATGATTGGTAAGGTACAGATAATTTTTACAACCACTTCCCATGTAGGTCGAATTCCCCAAATTTTTGAAGGAAATAGATGCTTACTAGTATCGATATTCTCCCACTAAGAATTCACAGACTTATTTAATTACGACGACAATGAATATAACAGTAGGGTAACTTTTTTAAACGTAAAATCATACTTCTGGATTAGTAGTCACAGAATCATGGTCCTCCGCCTCGTGAAAATTCCATTGCACGTCGAACACCAAAGTGTTACACAACAAGTTGAAGAAGTCCATGTTATTTTATCAATACGGTGCCACAAGAACAGTACCAATTTTAATAGAGTTCTGGAAGCTTAATAGTAACTGGAAGAGCATAATCTATGTGTAACAGATGGTGCATTAACATTAAAGGGCAAGCTTGTTTACTCAGCTCTTTAGTAAGATTCAGTAGAAGTAATCGTCGATAAATTCTAGGAATACCTAACTTAAAACAATGCTTTTTTTTTCAATGAAAAATTATGGCAACTTAATTACTTGAATCGTATTTAGATTTTTAATTGTATTTTATTTGGTTGCAAACGTGTACACACGAGTACACGTGAATTTCATACAAAATTTTGTTTTTGCTTATATACAAGAGTATAGATTTGGCACACTTAAATAAAAATATTTTTATAAGGTATTTTATATTGCTGCATTATTCATTGTATCATATATTTCTTATTAGACTTTTTATGTAATTTGTACTTAGTAAATTACTTTCTAGTCAGTCGTACCCAGAACTATCTGGATAAACGTCGTTTCTTATTAGCATTTTTCAAGATATGAAAAATATATAAAAATTATATCACGTCCTTAAGATAATACGATCCGATTATGCAAATAATTATACTTCGGTTTCGGTGGTAATGAATATTACTTTTTTAAAAGAATAAAAATAATTGAAATTATTAATTCTTTATATGATAGTTTTTGCGAATATATCTATATTTCTGTTATAAATTTTAACACTTGGAACTTAAATTAATATTAAAAATTAATCTTTGATCTTCATTAGATTTTTATTCTTTTGTAATTAAAATAAAGTAATATTTCGTAACTTCTTTTTATTATACGCATTTTCATATTATTATTAAATCAACTAAGAAGATAGAAATTAGGAAAGGTTTGAATTATCGAAAATCACAACATAGTTGTAACAAACAATGGAACTCAATTGTTAAAATATATAATAAATAATATAGATTTTTTACTTCAATATATTAAACAGACACAATAAAGCTATACTCTCCCATAATACAATCGTTATTCGTATATAACATTTTCTATCCACAGAATATCAATGGGGATATAAAAATTTGCAGTATGTTATTTACAAACAAATACTATCATTTCTAGTCACAGAAGTAGTTCTTATTAGAATGTCATTCGTTCGTAAAAACTAAAATTTCATATTATTCATTGCATGAATAAAAGTCCTGCTGATAGTCTTTGAACACTACATAAAATAGGGAATCTTCCGCCATCATCTTTTCTGTTATATTGAACAATTTTAAACTACAATTTATAACAAACATCTGACTAGTTTTCATAGTCTCATTCTGTGTCATCAGCTTCTGATGATTGTGCAACGGGTAATGGTGATGGGATAACTAATTCATCATCTTCAACCTCTTCCTCTGCAAGCAAAAAATCTTCTCCTTCGTGAATCTCTTCTTCTCTTGCTGGTTCCGGTGGAGCTAGTACATCTTGACCATGTTGCTTTAAGTGGTCTTTCAACGCAAATGCTCTACCATAGGACGCACCACAGATATAACAACTAAATTTTAAATTATTGTCCTTCTTGTGAGTTTGTATGTGAGTACGCGCGGCATATAAGGAAGCAAAAGGTCGAGAACACTCGGTGCATCGAAACGGTTTAGTATGACTATTCTTATGTCCCGCTAATTGAACACGTGTTTTAAATGTTTTTGGACAGTAAGTACATGTGTAAGCACGTTCTTCTCCGTGCGTACGTAAATGATGATTATAAACAGAGGAAGCTTTGAATCTCTTGCCACAAAGTTGGCATCCATATGGTCTGACGCCAGTGTGAGTTCTCATGTGCAAGGTTAAACAATAAGAAACACGAAAAGTTTTACCGCAAACCTGTTCGACAGAAGAGCGTTTCTTAATAAAAGCTAGAATATTGTAATTATATTACTTTTGCTACACTTACTTCACACGCGTGTGGCTTTTCTCCGGTATGAATACGTTCGTGTTTTACTTTCTCGTGAGGTCTTGTAAATCTTCGGCCGCAGTGTTGACACTGATAAGGCTTTTGATGTTTGGTGAATGAGGTTGACTTAATTCCGTATGCACTGCTGCATGCATTGCTAAACTATCAGCAGAATCGAATTTTCTGTTACACACTGTACAAGTTACAGAGTCACCGGAGTGCAAAGCCATATGCGCTTCTTTGTACGATTCTGCTAATGTTTTACCTGTAAACAATTAACGCGTAATTAAGTACAAATGTATTTTAAGATAAAAAAATGTAGTGCTTAAAATCAGTATTTTTAATAAAATTATTACCACACTCGCAACATATGAATGTTGCAGCGCTACGTGTACCCTCAGGTGCTGCAACATGCCTTGCTCTGACCGGCGCGTGCATTCGAGAATGCAAACGCAAACTTTTGTGCGAACAAAACTCCGTACCACAGGTTTCGCATACGAAAGATTTTTGATTTGGATCGGGTTCACCTTCGTGTACCTTGGCATGGAGCTGTAACGCTTTCGGTGTTGCGAAAGTTTGGTCACAACTATCGCAACGATTATTGCCATGAAGACACGCATGTACTCGGAAGTTTCCCAATTTTGAGAACTGCTGAAGGCACTGATTACATCTGTACATTCTCATTGGTGCAGCGGCCAATCTTTTCTCTCGTACCTGTAATAAATTTACGCGAATAAATATTACATTTCATTATAATCGGAAAAAAGACAAATACTTATCATACCTTTACCCCTTGCGCATTGGAAAAAAACTTTTCAATCATTGGTGCCTTGGTAGACTGAAGTGATGTTTGCATTGGAGTTCTATCCCAGAACCTTTCTATTTGTACTACTTTTCTTGTATATAATCTCCCTTCACTGTCAACACATTCTTCTGTACGAAGAGTGTTCATACTCTGCCTTTGTCTACTATTGACTACACTTCCTGATTCTGAGGATAGGGTGCTAGTTGCAGGTACTGTAGGTATATCATCTAATTGATCAGCTATTTCAAGTAATACTTCTTGTCCATCATGAAATTGCTTTATGTGTTCCACAACAGAATTAAAGCTCATGTCACAACTAGTACAACTATAAACTGCTTCTGGTTCTATCTGTAATAATGAAACATGCTATTTCATTGAAACAATTTCATTTATAGATATATATGTACAGCAATAAGTAATGATTTGTACCTCACAAAGTTCTTGTTTAACATGTAACAATCCATCTTCATCTAATTCTCCTACATCGTTTATATGATCCATATTTATTAAAGCACCAGTGTCACCATCAAGAAGCTCTGAACCATCAGGTAAAATAGTGATCACATTTTTATTTCTGTTTTTATCATCTGTTTCTGAAGTAGTTGAAATTGTTACTAGTTGATCTTGGGATAAACATTTTTCTTCTACTTTGCTAGCGGTACTAGGAACTTTTTCTGTTATTTTAAATTCCAGAGAATTTTGCTTCATCTGTGTTTCTTCAGTTTCCATTTTTTCTACGACTTTAATTTCTCCTGATATTTTCATTAGAAACAATGATCAAGTAAACAGAATTAACATATATTAGACTAGAATGTTTACATACCATTTTCATCAACTTGTATGGTCTGGGCCCCCCCAACTATCATAATTCCACTGTCATCTACAGTTGCTAGGAAACTTTGATCTATCCCTTCAACACTTGTGCTCTACAATTAGAATTATCAAACAAAGACCACAACAAATGCAAATAGAGAATCATTTTTGATTGCTAACCATTAACACTGCTGTGTCTTGTTCTGATTCCTGTTGAGCTTCTTGCCCAGGCTCATGCTTGGATTCAAGTGATGCTTCTGATTCAACACTCTGTCCACATCGATCCAAATGTTGAATGAGTGCCATTACTGAGTCAGATCGCTGCGAACAACCAGGACAGTATAGGTTGTCTGTCATGCTTAATAAATGATACTTTAATGACTGCGGATTATTAAACGTTTCACCACAGCACATTGGGCAAACGAGGTTCAAAGATCCCATATCTTTATCGTTTCGATGCTGATATCATAGAGGGTCCTTGTTGACCTTAACCTGACCCTCTACTTTTTTTATTGACCTGACTCGATTTTTTTTTACTTTCACCTACACTAGCCTTAAATCAAAAATAAAACCGGCTTCCTATTAAGAACCTAACCTGACGATGAATCAGAAAAATCAGTAAAATCGCGTAAACGTGCCCGGATACAGAACAATGTCATGTTGTTTCTTCCATATACTTGATTTTTCCATAGAATGTCTACTTAATTATAATCAATTATATTGCACAAAAATAAACAGCGACTTTTTTTCGTAATAGAAGCAATAACAAAACTCATTAGAGACGAACTTCAGCGCAAACAAATGCCGCACACAACAATCATGAAGTTAGGGAAGTGATAAGTGAATCGCGAAGTCGGCCATTACATGCGAGTTTCGGTAAAAAACTATCGAAGTCAAATTCAAGCTTTATCATTTTCATGATGATAATTGTTTTGCTGTAACGTGAAATATCCACAACCTTGCTGTAGTTAACCTTTTGAACATGTTTGACTATTTATATTGTAGTGCGTATATTAAAACTATTGTTATCAGTTGAACGTAAACTAGATGCTCAATTGACAAAAGGCGCGCGGTATGTTCGGGCTCTATTTGAACAGACTTTGTAATTACGAAACTTCCCGTGTTTCTAAAGTTCATTGCATTATTTATTTACATATTTAGAGTTTTATATCTTTCTTAATTTTACCTAACCAATTATTGATAGTTGTACTATCATTTGTTTAAGCTGAGGATTGTAATGCACGTTAATAGTGGATAAAATGCAAAATTTGATGTAAGTAATTTTACGGAATGACATTAATAAAAAACAGCAAATGATAGCGATTTAATAAGGTTTTCTATTAAATAATGTATATTTTACATATTTATTAAAGTATATTTACATGATCTTGATTTATAATTACCACAAACATTATCACGCAAAATAAGAGGCTTGATTATGCAAATTATTATTACCAACTTAATTCTATTAATTATCTAATCAGCATGTTCGTGTTGAGCATTGCTTTCACGCCACGTGTTTTGAATTAATTCTACACATTGCTGCCACCATCTGCTCTGTGATGTAAAATACAATGCACATGCAGCAATGAAAATCCATGACAGGACTAGACAGTAATCTGTTTCATTGGAAGGTGTACTGGAAACAGGCCCAACAAAATCCGCAGATGTAACAAAAAGTGGTGCAGTTGGTTGTAAATTAGTTGCAAGTGTTATGCATTTTGCAAAAGATAGCAATGTATAAACAGTGTCATTATACATTGCTACAGGTTTGCCATTGTGAACAAGCATTAATGTAGGAACACCACCAATTCCATATTGAGCATTAAAGCTGAAAGTATAAAATCCAAATAATTTATAAATTTTCTTTTAATCATATAAATGAAATGTTTTATTTTAGCTTTATTTTATTACTTTTGATATTTTATGGCATCTATTGCCACTGCCTTGATATGTGCAAATGAACGTGATAATGCATTAAAATGAGGTGCAGCCTGATTACAGAATGTACACCATCTAGCATAAAATAATACTATCATGCATGTTCCTGGTATCAGTCTACCGTCCTTGTCATTTCTACTTCTATTTGATAGTCCAGGTTCTAACATTAATAATTTCATTAATCTGGTTGCATTAACAATCTGAAACAGTTAATATGTGTAGTTATTTTGTTACATTTTATCTAAAACATCCACAAGTATCTTATTATCTCACTTCTACTGATCCATACACTTTGTCTGTCAAGCAATTAAATTTAGCTACATTAGCATAAGAATTAGTTGCTGTCACATTTGTTTTTCCTTGTAGAATGTAATTTCTTGTAATTGGTGGTGGAACTGTCCCTGCTACCTCCCATTTTGATTCATCCATTTGTCCAAGAAAATTTACCATTTGTCCACGAACATTTACCATTTGTCCACGAACATTTACCATTTGAACTAAATAAATAAAGGAGATTGAAATTGTATTATCACTGAATAATAATAAAAATATTGATGCCTCACCTAAAATTATCACAATGAAACACAAGTTCCTTCTAGAAAGAAACATTTTGCGTACATAACCTAAAAAACTGCTCGTGTGCTTTTATCAGAAATATGGAAATTAATAAAATTCACAAATAACTTGAACGTCTTTGCAGGAACGCACAATAATTAACGTACAATAGCAATTGAAACATAATTTGCAGTGTGACACACGTAAAAAACGGATTGATGTATTATTTTTATTTTCATTCTTGATTGTAAAACGAAGGGACACGGTAATCGGCTGTTTGGGGTCGCATCGATCGCTTATCCTGCAATTTATTTATTCCTTCTTCAACTAACTTTATTGCAATTACTGTATAAAATATAAAATGAAATTCAAAACGTCTTTATACTGATATATATATAAGTGAAATAATACCGTTCGTTTGTTCTTTTTCAAATTGTGCAATGTCACGATACTCATTTTTTAATCACTGTTCGACTATTCTAATAAATTAGTAAACATTTATTTAGATGTTTCGTATACATATCGATATACTGCGTCGATGCTTTTATGTACGATATTATTCGTAAAGATTTTCTCATATTGTGTTATAACAGATCGATGCTGATATATTTACAGATCAATGTACCAAAGTTACCGATTCATTTGTAAATTCTGAAATCGTTAATTTACAGCGTAAATCTCACGCGATGCTGCGATCAAGCTCGCTGTTTTCGAGCGTATTCCACGTACCGCCGGAAGAAGAAAGAAAGACTTAAGAGTAGGAGTTACCGCGCGTATCTAGCCACTTTCATTGTTATTCGATCGGTCTTACACCAAAGGTGCAAGCTGAGTACTCTCCCGAAGAAACAACAAGCGGTTTCGTGTTAATTTCATTTACCGTTTAAAAAATAATTAATCGCTCTTCGGGTCTTCAGTAAGTATACGAATTTTTATACGTATTACTCGCTACTTCCATAGCGCATTAACCCCTACCTTTCGTTGATAATAATCGAAATACTTTCTTTTTTTCGTTACATTAAATTCGAGCGAAACTCCTTGCACTTTCTATCATTCTATCTCTATTAAATTCTTTTACAAAACGCATGTGGTTTATGTGGAAGTAATAAAGGTTGCGTTTATTATTTAATGTTAACTGTATATAGTATATTTATTTCAAACATAATTAGAAAAATTTGCGAGAACAACTTTCAAAGTTCTTTTCGTTTCTTTCTACTTAATCATTAGTTGGACAGATAGATTTTTATATGCTAGTGTTTTCAATAGGATATATGTACACATTTTTAACACATGCTTACAGAGTAGAAGTCGGAGACAAGGGAGATCATTTAAGAAAGATACGAGTACTCCCGCGGAAAAATTGCAACATCGGCATCGTAGTGTCGGTTAACGGAGCGTGAAAGCACCTGTAGATCAGAGATCAACATCGAATCGCGCATTAGCATACAAAAATAGCAGAGCCGGCCTTATTCACTTCGCGGCCGAGATTCATACATTCCATACAAACAATAAGATTTCGTACTTGGGACGTCGTAAAAAGTTGCGTGTACCTGAATGGAAACACACTACGTTGCTACGTACGCTACTGTTTCAATATCGGTCAATTAGGAAATTGGGAAACTTGCTGTTACCTCTGTTGCTGAGAAATCGTATTGTTTTTCCGTGGGTCTGTTTTTCGACGCTGCACAGAATGAAAAGGAACATTTTGCAAGGGTTTAGGTTAGGTTAGATTTTGTGAAAAAAAAAAGAAAGAAAGTCTAATGTTTAAAAATATTCTTAAAAACAATTTTTAATTGGGGGTCATGAAATAAATTCAAGATCGTCGCGATAGTTACTTGAATGCTTTTATAATAATAATCGAATACAATAGAGGTGAACAAGGCGCCCAAATTATGCTTCCTGGTTTCACTCGATTGTCGCTGAAACAGACGGAAGGAAGACGCATTCATGCTCTGTTTCAGCGGCTCGTATTCACTGAGTTTCTACAGGATATACCTACCGAGATATTTTAATGACGCCACCGCAGGTAGATGCACCTTCTTGCTTTTTGTAAACCTTGAAAACAGAGATTGAAAACAGTCATAATCGTTACCCGAAAATTTGTCTTCCCCGCATGAAAAATCTTTATTCTAAATAACTGTTAGCAGCAACTGAAATTTCTGACTATGTACATATATCTTTTTCAGTTACGGTTTCCATATCAGTTCTAACACGGTTTTGCAATCGATTTTCATCGCGGGATCGAATCCCGACGCCGAAACCTTTTTTTTTTTGGAAGAATTTGAAAAATTCTCTCTCCCCTATACTCTAGAATTAATTCACCGATTTTCAAGTTTATTTTGTCATTTTTATCCCCTATTGTATTGAATTCTAATGTTAATGTGTTGAAAGTAGCATTGCAGTTGCGTTTACTACGGAAACGTAAAGAACAATGACCTGACCACCTTTTCCTTCGTTTTAGATGTTAGATTTTTTAATGGTTTTCGCCTTGAGCCTTTTCTGCTTGAAATATCGCGTTGACCAAATTGAAAGTTACTTTCCAATGAAGAATTACGAATCACAGAAATTCCTCTTACTAATTCTTTTCGATTTATTTTATCCACAGAGATGGTTTCAATCTCCAACGTATCAGCGATTCTGTTGCTTACTGTTTTATCGATCGATTTCGTTCGTTCGAACATTGGAAATTGGGAAGCTTGTGGTGGAAGACTGGAAAGGGCATTGGATGCTCTTCATAGAGATTCGAGTAGAAGAAACAGGCTCGAAGAGGAAGATGCGGATATGTTTTATCAGCAAGAACTTCGTTCTGCACCACTCGAGATGTCAGTCTCCCGGATTGCTGTTAAAGTAATATTTATTGAGTAAATTATATTGAAGTGTACATTGCGAGCACGAATTCGAAGTTTGATCTACTATTATCTACCGTGTTATTTTCAACATATGATAATTCATTCTCACATATCATTTTTCTTCTAAGCAATCCTTTTTAGATATCTTTTTAGACATCTATTCAACTATAATTCATGCAGTTAGAAATGTGTTAAGAAAGATTTTATGGATTCATTTTTTAAGCATTAAATTAATCGAAAGATTAACGATTAGAAGGAACAATTTATTTAAGAATAACTTTTCCTTCAGTTTTTCTAACCGTAAATATTTTTCAGTTGCTGCAAGGAGCTAGAGACACTGGAAATGCCTGGGCCAGAGTAGAGAAATGCATCTACGAACCCAGCAACAATTCCCTTCAAACTCGAGTAATGTTCAATGATTTATCCGTCTCTGGAATAGTTTCGTTAATGCCACGGGATCATCAACCGCCTATCCCAGCAGAATCTTGCAGGATGACTCTGAGATTAAGACGATCAGGTGTCGATTTTTTAACCAGTCCAATAGCTCGTGGCAGGGGTCAAATGCGAATTCGAACGGAATCAAGTTTTTTGGAGCCAAGATTCGCCTCCATATACGCTTACGGTTGTCATCCTACGCGTTTGGATAAGCAAATCAAGAGACAGGATAAGTGGCCACCGTTCTATCCGTCTCGAGACAAGGTAGATAATCATTGTTCATCATTTCAAGCTATATACATTGTATGTAACAAAAGTTTTTGAACTCTGAGTTTATTAACTTTTTTTCTGCTAGAATGGAAGAGAGTATAAAGGAAAGCATGATACCTTGATAAGTTAGCAAGCCTGTTGAGTGACATGAAACGCTTGAAATGTTTAAAATTACAATTAGCAAAATAATTTGAGAATAACGAGATAAATATATTGTTTCAGTATCCACTTTTACCTCTAACACTGAACGACGACTACGAGGCAGCGGAACCACGCCAATTGCCCGGTGTTTCCAAGGAGGTAGATGTCCTAATCCCGAACGAGACTCGTCAGTCTCGTTTTCTAACCTCTCCAGTCGCGAAGTTGGGTATCTGGCGGAAAAACGTCTGGCTTACAAAATCTCCATTACGGGAGAAACGAGCTCTTGCAGAGTCGAATGTTCGTCGCTTTCCAGGATCTTTCGAAAGTAGTCAGGAAACGAACGATCGTTCCATAAGGGTCACGAGATCAACGGAGACGATCACTCCGCAGGATTTCGCAAACGCATTGACCAGCAAGAGGTTAAAAGGTAACGAGACTGGTAATTGCACCGAAGAGTATAAGCAGAACAGTTTGATTAATAATACGACGAAGATTCTATTGAGGAACCTGAACGATAGTGAAACAAAAACGAACGTTAAGAGAGAGAATAATTATCAGGATGCACAGAACGAGGCTCCAAAAGAGACTAGACATTTGTATATAGACGAGGCATTGGATAATATCTTCCCTATTGATTTGGAAAATGATAGTAGAAGCTGGCAATCAAAGGAACACATTGCCAGAGAAATGGAAGATGTATTTTTACGTGGGGCTAGCCAAGCTTTGACTAGATACATTGAGAGGCAATTACACCCAGCTATTAAAGAGACACTGATGATTTCTATGGGGTATACTATCAGTTACGGATAAAGCACGTTATCTCTTGTTTGTCAGTAGAAATTTGTAGAATTATATCTCAGTTGTTTGGCACCGTGTAGGTAATGTAGAAACACAATCGAAATTGGTGTCGCCGTTGTAACAACTGATGTCTAGTCTTTAACGCTGATGTTTAAGCGAACGATAGAAAAGGTGCAATATAATTGTAACAAGAAATATACAATATTGTAATAACGTTTATTTAAAGTGAAATAAATGTGACGTTAAATAGGAGATTAAATAGAGTTAGGTTAGGTTAGGTTACGTCTTCTATCTCTTCTGTTTCTATCTCTTTCCTTGTTGAACTCGCTACTCTATTGCTATCCTCGTCGTGTTCTGCTTTGTTCTTTGTTTCACACATTGTCAGAATGCAGACTGGATTACAGTTATCATAAAAGCATTAAGTTTAATGCAGTTCAGGCATAAGAAATAGATCAATTTGTTCTTTAAATTATAATAATCGTGATGGCCAAATAGAAAATTTCCCCCATAGCGGATTAAAGTTTTCTGTATTATTCTTGTAATTGTATTTGCGAAAATAATGTAACGATAAATCGCTTGTAAATTTTAATACTGCGTCTAATACTTGCAATTTTTCAACCTCTGACTCTCTAATTTCCTCTTTTTATCCTTTCGACATCACGTATTGCATTCGTTGTACAATAATTTATAACATTCCCGGATTTGGTTTACTTTATTTCAGACAACAAATTTCGATTTCTGACTTATGGTTGATTTTCCTAATTAGCTTCGAGCCAAGATTAAGTAGTAAAGTCAACCATATCTTAGACGCCGAAAACGTGGCGTATTCGAGCAAGTAGTACAACTCAACCATTTCTTAGACATTCGAAATTTTTCGGCATCCCGAAGTTATTTTCGCGCAAGTTTCTGAGGTTTCGCTCGAATTTCGCGATTTTTACGATCTTTTCGATTTTTGCGCGTTCCTAACGCTATCCGGACATGGTTTACTTAATTTTATAATGGATTATTATTTAAAGAATGAGTGTTTCGCAAAAGGAAATTGATTTGGTGTGTAAGGGAGAAATGAATACACTGTTAAATACTGTAAAACCATACTGGTACACTTATCTTACAATAAATAATTGATTTTCTCTGAACTAATTACATCTCTTGATGATTCCTGATCTTCAGGACATTTCCTTTGTCCCTGTGGTGTCCTGAAAGTCCCATCTGTGATTCACACAAAAAGAACATTAATTTTTCAATTTGCAATAAAAGTTATAAACAATTTCTAACTAATCCACCGCATGCAATTGTTAATTCAATGCGAAATTAATAAACGAAGCTGTTTCGTTAAGTTAAATCACGCAAAAAATGTATTTAATGCTTCCAATGATTATAAACTACCATCTTAATTGTTATTTAACAAAAAACACTAATTATTCTATAATTAAATTATTTAAAAATGAACCAAAAATTTTATTTTACTATTTACGTTATTAGTATTGTTAATACAATTAAAAGTTTATTATAAGTATCAATTTAAAACTGCTTACCATATGCAATTACGCTCTAATTTACAATAACTATTATTAAAAGCGACAAATTCGAGGAATATGTGTTTTAAAAATCAGCTAAACTGGTTATACTTCTTTTTTCGACAATTCTCTGGATAATACATGAGTAAGACAAGGAAAGGAATATCGGTAGTCAAGGATAGCAACAGTACCACGTGTTAGACAAGGAAAGGAATAGCGCTAGACAAGGATAACAACAGTACCACGTGATAGACAAGGAAAGGAATAGCGGTAGACAAGGATATCAATAACACTGTGTGTTAGACAAGGAGAGTAATAGGGATAGACAAGGACAGAAAAACGGCGGGTGAAAGTAGCGCCATCTCGCGGTTGGTGACGCGAATTACGATTTTTCAATAGGAAAACATAATATAAACAGAGGTATTAGACAAGGAACGCACTAGTGTGCGACAAGGATAGAGAGAGAACGTTTCCTATTGGCTAGCGGGCCGGTAGACTCGTTCTTCCAGGGCCTCAATCAAGTCGGTCGGTGAAAAATAATTAATAACTCGATAATTAGGATGATTTCCTGAATTTTTAGAATTGAAGAATGAAGAGTGAACATTCAGCAACTTTCACATATACTTTTTAGTTCTCTAGACCCTCTCAATAATTAGTTATTAATAATTTTTGTACGTGATGTCGGGAGCGATACCGCATACCGTCAACTATCTTTACGGTTTGTCAATAATTTCATAGCTTTTCACTAAATTCTCGTGCAAGTAATTATATGTATCTGAAAGATAATTCCTTTAGCTACATTCTTCTATAATTTTTATTAACATATTTCATGTAGTTTAAGAGTTATTAAATATTACATGAGAGTATTCCCTATATATCGGACGTGAGTATAGTTAACTGTTCTAAACAATTGCTAATATCTAATAAACCACACGACTTAGAGCTATGAAACTAATTGCAGAATATAGATAAAAGTCCATTCTACATTCTGCATACTTAAAAGTGCACAATTAATTGCGTATTTTCATTGAAATAGCGAAAATGTGTTACGCTTGAATGCGAGAGGTGTATACGAGTGTAATACCTTTACGGTTTTTCAATAATTTCATAGCTTTCTACTAAATTCCCATGCAAATAATTAAATGTAGCTGAAAGGCAACTCCTTTAGCTATATTCTAATATAATTTTTATTAACATATCCCTTGTGGTTTGATAGTTATTCAATATTCTTTGGATGAGTACTACAGGCGTCGCATTCAAGCGTAACACGTTTTTTTTATTTCAATAAAAATGCGGGATAAATTGTGCACTTTCAAGGATGAGGAATGTAGAATGGACTTTCATCTATATTCTGCAATTAGTTTGATAGTTCTAAGTCGTGTGGTTTATTAGATATTAGCAATTGTTTAGAACAGTTCACTATACTCACGTACGATGTATAGAGAACACTCTCATGTAATATTTAAAACTTCCTGAACTAAACGGAGTATATTAATAAAAATTATGGAAGAATATAGCCAAAGGAATTACCTTTCTGATGCATACAGTAACGTGCATGAGAATTTAGTAGAAAGCTGTGAAATTATTGAAGAACCGTAAAGCTATTGCACTCGCCGTATTCAAGCGTTACACATTTTCGTTATTTCAATCGAAATGC